CACCTTAGCCTCCCAAAGTACTGGGATTACCAGAAAGAGCCACCGTGCCCAACTGGCAGGATCTTTTTTTTAAGGCTAAATAATATTCTATTGTGTATGTGTGTGTGTATACACACATCACAGTTTCCTTTTCCACTTGTAGATGGAAACTTCAGTTGCTTCCATAACTTAGCTATTGTAAATAATGCTGTGATGAACCTGGGAGAACAGGTGAGGTGGTGATTTCATTTTCTTTGGTATATACCAAGAAGAAGGATGACTGGGTCATGTGACAGTTCTTTTTTAAATTTCTTTGGGAACCTCCATACTGTTGTCCATGATGACTGCACCAATCTATGTTCCCATCAACAGTGTACAGGGCTCCCTTTTCTCTGCATCCTAACAGTTTGCTATCTCTTGTCTTTTTGACAATAGCCATCCTAACATTTGTGAGTTGATATCTCACTGTAGTTTTATTTGCACTCCCATGATGATTAGTGATGTTGAGTACCTTTTCATATATCTATTAGCTATTTTTGTCTCCATTGAACAAATGTCTATTCAAGTCCTTTGCCTGTTTTTTAATCTAGCTATTTGTCTTTCTATTATTGAGTTGTATGAGTTCTTTATACACTTTGGATATTAATCCCTTATCTGATAAATGGTTTGCAATTTTTTTCCCAATTCACAGGCTGCCTTTTCTTTTTTATTGTTTCCTTTGTTGTGCAAAAGCTTTTTAGTTTGATGTAGTTCCATTTTGTGGCTTGAATTTTTGGTGTGATAGCCAAAAAATCATTGCCAAGGCCAATGTCCAGGAGCTTTTCCTTTATGTTTTCTTCTAGGACTTTTATGGTGTCAAGTCTTAGTTTAGGTTTGTATACATTTTGAGTCGATTTTTGAGGTATGGTGTAAGATAAAGCATACGAATCAGAAAGGAAGAAATAAAATTGTATTTGCAGATGACATGATTCCATATGTATGTAAAACCCCCAAAGAGTCCATAAATATATTGTTACAACTAATAACTAATAAATTTAGTACATTTTGTAAATTTACTAATAAATTTATTAAATATTTTTCATTAATTATTAATTTCTTTATAATTTTGTATTTATTTATTTATAAATTAATAAAAACAATTTATTTATTATATTTTATATTGTATTATTAGATTTTATATTATATTATTAATAAATAAAATTAATTAATTTTAAATTGTTTATCAATTTATTAAATGATTTATTAATAAGTTTAGCAGATTTACTAAATTTGCTAATAAATTTAGTAAAGTTGTAGGATACAAAATCAATATAAAAAATCAGTTGCATTTCTGCACATGAATAATGACCTTATGAGAAAGAAATTTAAAAATTTTTCATTTATAATAGCATCAAAAATAAAATAAAATAAAATAAAACATTTAAGAATGAATTGAACCAAGAGATAAAAGATCTGTATGCTGAAACTCTAATGAAAGAATTGAAGAAAATCCACACCCAGAAAAGATATCCTATGTTGATGGATTGGAAGAATTAATCTTGTTAACATGTCTATACTGCCCAAAGCAATATGTAAATTCAGTGCAGTCCCTAAATTGCAACGATATTCTTCACAGAAATAGAAAAAACAATTCTAGAATTTGTATGGAATCACAAAAGGCCCCTAATAGTCAAAGCGATTCTGAGAAAGAAAAACAAAGTTGGAGGCATCACATTTTCTGATTTAAAATTATATTACAAAGTTATAGCAATCAAAACAGTATGGTACTGGTATAAAAACAGACACATAGGCCAATGGAATAGAAGAGAGCCTAATATATACTGTCAAATAATTCTTGAAACAGTGTGAAGAAGACACATGGGGAAAAACCAATCTTTTCAACGAAAGGTACTGGGAAAACTGGATTTCCACATGCAAAAGAATGTGATTGGACCTTTATCTTTAGGACATACTTATATTTAAAAAAATGTGTTATTTATCTGAGATTCAGATTTAACTGGGCATACTGTATTTAATCTGACAGTCTTTTCTAAGCTTCTTCCTCTGCAATATGGTAATAATAAGTCTCTACCTTCTAAGTAAATTAACACATGTTAAGTATTTAGAACAGAGCTTGACACATGGTAAATGCTACATAACTGTTTTATTGTTAACTTTGTAATCTTTTCATGAGGTGGCCATCAAAATTCTGCCTCCAAGACGCCTCCATGGAACCCTAGGACTCTGTGGCACATAGTTCAGGAAACCACTCATCCAAACCTAGCATCTATTTTAAGCAAACCAAGAAAGCTCCCTGAGAGCAGGGACCATGCCTGTTTTCCTAAACAGTATATTTCCACCACAAGCACAAGGCCTACAACGAGTTGAAGCTCAATTAATATTATTGAGTAAGCCATTAAAAGATTATCTTGCAGATTAAAAAGGCCAAAATAGATAACTGTGTGGCCAGTGGTTGTACTGGTGCTAGAATCCACCAGTAAATATGCTTTGAGAAACCATGTTAGGTCTTAATGAGCATGTAGTCTAGCTAAAAAGATAAGCACTAAAGACCTCCAGGAAACAAGAAATGATAGCATGCAAGAGACACCCGATTTGTGGTGTCTTTTGGAGCCTCTAAGAATGGGATTGTTTTGTCGGGTCTAATCCAGGCCTCATCCTGTGAAGCTGTGTCCTGACACTGCCAGTTCACACTGCCCAATTGGAGTCTCTGGATTTACTTCTGCAATGAATTCACATAAGTGGTTAAACAACAACCAGCAAGTGTTACTTTAGCAGCTACTGAAAATTAGCCCTACGAAAGGCACAGGTGTAATTCAGAAAAGCGTTAAGCCAGTAGTGTGACCTCACAACCGCACAGTCAGAGAGATGAGACAGGTACTTTAAACTGCAAGAAAACAAGAGATGAAGCATAATATTGAATGAGGAGGAAAAAGTTGGTGTGTCCTATGTGGCCACTGGGGAGAAAATTAGGACCAGTGAGGAGAAATTGTAAGAAGGCATATGTGAAGGTAGTTTCTGACAAGTAGAACTATCTAAAGACAGAATGAATGGCACAGGGAAGCAGTGAGTCCCATGTCACTGGAGGCATACAAGGGAAGTCTGGATATTCCTTCGTGGGAATATTGTACAAAAGAGTCCACAGGAAGCTGGCCACACTGGTCTTCGTGGTTCAGTCTGCACCTAGTATGTAATGTAACCAGTACCTGAATTGCATCGTCCAGTTTGGGGTTGTCCACATTACTCAAGAATCAAGCCTGTATCTGAGATGATATTGTGTTTGACAGCCGAGCTGAGAGCTGGGCTCAAGCTCCATGAGCCACACTTCCCCTAGCTGCTAAGTGTTGGGGGAGGTGTGGGGAGTGCAGAGGAGATAAGCATGCCGTAGGAAGGGGATAGTTTTCCTCTCCCCTATTCAGAACTATTTGCACTCCCAGCAAAGCTAAACTGCACAAACCACACCACTTACAAGGATTGTTTTACATCAGAATTACAACAAGATTGTACAAAGCTTTTTTATATAATTTATTTTTTTTTTTGTACCATTAGAAGATATTATCTGAGTTACGCCAAAACCATCTGGAAAGGCAGGAAGGCACTCGGCCTGCTGCCTGGATCCTCTGCTCAGCTCAGCAGGCCTGGCATAGAAAATGAAATGCCACGGCTCGCACCAGCCGCAACAGCCCCTTCACCCGCTGTCCATACGTATCTTTAACTCAACCACAGACACCCGCCAAGCACACTTCTTCTGCACACTTCCACCTCCTCTTGGGCCTTCTCACAACTACATCTGGTAGAGAGATACTGCCCGGACATCTTTCAGCAGGGCATTTTTTTTATTGTTTGCTTTTCAGTAAGAAGCTTGAAGAGCCTTGGTACTTAATTTGTGGGCAGGAGAAACTTAAATGGATAGAAAGCAACCCCAACCATCTTTCCCTTGAACCTGTGTGTCTGCTGCTACACCACCCCCACCACCTCCATATACCACGCACAAGGCTGCCACTCAAACTCAAAGAGACTTGCCCAGCAGACTGGACCCTGTTAGATAGGCAGGCTGAGGAGTGACCAACCAAAGGTCTGAATCATTTAGAGCAGCCCAAGTCCTGAGTCTCCTTTGGTGTATAGCGAGCCATTATCATCCCAAAGTCTGAAAATACAAGCATTGAATTTTTCAAAGAGAAATATATATATGCCTTGTTTTATAAACAGCAAAGAAAAGAAGATGAGATACCTGGAAAATATATATTTACCAAAAAAAAAAAAACAGATCCTGATTATTTTTAATTGGGTTGGAAGGGGTTACTTCATTATGCAGCAAATTAGAAAATTCATAATTTATCATTGCACCCAGTCGAAATGCCACCCAACTGAGTCGCACCCCTGTGAAAACCATCACATAGTAGCAAACTGTCAAGCCTGCTGCAGCCGACGGGCAAAATTAATATGCAAATGTATGCAAGAAATTAAAAAGCAGAATTACCCAGGCAAATGAGGTAGCTATACTTGAATTGTTAGAATTATGAATAATTACTGCGAATTTTCTGCTCCTAATATAACTTGTTTTTTGATAAACAAAGACTTAATTATCGAGATGCGCTGGAGAATTTCCGTGGCGCTCATTAATCTTGCAAAAAAAACAAGTCCCTGGTGCCCAAGCCGTAATGAAGAGCGCGTGCCCTGAATCTTCAGAAAGATCACAGGCACCAGGGTGCCAGGGCTGGAGAAAAAAAATGACAGTGCCAATGTCCCCTCCTGTACCCTGGAGTGTCATAACGTCTTCCACTAACTATCAAAGGGACTTATTTATGCCAGCAGCTGAGCTATAAGTCCAATTTACGATGCCTTGAGCAGTGGTGAAATGATCTGTTGATGTGCGGTGGAAATGCCATCTTGCAGTGGCGTGCGCTGGTCCCAATGATACCAACATGATGAGGACCCCGAGCTCCGGCGCTAATGGATGTCGCGTGACAGACCGTAATCCGCAAGAGGGACCATCTTTTAGGACCGGTCTCGATGGTTCTCCATTAATCTTGGTTGTGCAGCTCACTGGTGTCCATGGGAACAAGGGCATTATCGTAAACACTGGTTTTAAATTTTCTCATTAAGAGTGGCAACTTGAAGGAGCAAGACCAGGCACCACCCGACGGGGCCGTGGCCTGTGCAGCCTTCACTGTCCCTAGTGACCAATGCCCAAGCCCGATGGGTGGACCAGGGAAGCTGTCCTTTCTTCCGGTCAGGACCAGCAGGCAGAGGGGAGCCAGGAAGGGTCCCAGGCAGCCTGAGGGGGCTGTTTCCACAGCCCACAGCCCAAGAAGCCACATGGCCCTGTGGGAGCTGCGCTCATTTACCAGAAGCTTGCAAAGGGGCCATCTCCCACCAGGTCCTCCCAGCACACAGCCGAGGGGGCCTGCTGAGCATGTGTTATTACTTAAAACCTGGCATCTAAGTGGGAATAACTGAGTTCCCGTCATCATTAGGCCGATTAGCGCCATGATAAACCCTCACAGATCATAAGGCAAAATTACAAAACATCACTTCTGGAGCTCTGGGTCGGCTGAAGGAGCTCCCGGCTGCCTGCATTTTCAAACACCTCCTTTCTGAATTCAGGCCCCCAAATACCCTGATGTCTTGACAGAACCATTTCACAGTGTAGGCAAATTGTCACCTTTTACACCAGGGCATCTGTCATTTTTATACTCAATGCTGCCTCTCCTTCTTCCTTGCTTGCCTGCTCTCTCTCTCTCTCTCTCTCTCTGTCTCTCTCCCTCTCTCTTTCTCTGCCCCCAGTCTTGGTATAAACCCCTTGGGAAGCCAGCACCCTATCCAGGAATGGACTCGTATATCTCCTGCATTATACTTACACAAAAAGAAAAAACCCTCAACAAGTCAGATAGAAATGATGTATCTCCGACATCATTCATCTCCAGATTTTATTTTTATGCAGAGCCCAGAGCAGCTTGTCTTGCATTCTCTCACATTCCCTGAGATTAATTCTCACCATGGGCCTGTGATAGGATTGTGAGGGTGAGAAGACATCCAAGCTCCACAGGAAATGAAATGCAACTCAGCAACTCCATCTTCAGCCACTCAGACCAATTCCTGAGGGGACGTTCCTGGTGTAGCCATCCTTCTCTTCAGGTTGAATACTCCCCCAGAAAGAGGGAGGCAGGGGAATCCATCATCTACGTGTTCATCAATCCACCATTGGACATTGGACCAATGAGTAAAATTGAACAGCTACTCAGTCCCTAGCACTGGAAGGTCACAGTAGAATATAAGTCACCAGAGAGAAAGACTCAATATTCATAGCAAACTCTACCACTTAAAAGCTGTATGACTGTCTTACTCTATTTTCTGCTGCTATAACAGAATACCACAGACTGGATAATTTATAAAGAAACGAATTTTATTTGGCTTGTGATTCTGGAGACTGGGAAGTCTAAGAGCATGTCAGTGGCATCTGGTGAGGGTCATCCCATTGCAGAAGGGCAGAAGACAAGCTCAAGGGCAAGACAGAGACAGAAAGGAAGCCAAACTTATCAGGACTTCTGCAATAACTCCTGCAATAACTAACCCGCTCCCTAGATAATCCACTCATGAGGGCAGAGCCCCCTTGGCCTGATTACCTGTTAAAGGCCTCACCTCCTAATACCATTATAATGGCAATTCATATTAACATGAGCTTTGGCAGAGTCATTCAAATCACAGCAGTGACCTTGAGCTATTACTTAATGTCTCTGAGCTGCAGTGTCCTCAACTGCGAAAAGGGGACAGAATGTGGCAAGAATTACATGGCATAAGTATTAAAACCTCATCACAGTACCAAACACATGATAGGTAATTTGCATTTTTATTATTGGGCTAAAAAATAAATTAGTCTAGTCTCAGCCTATCTTCAGGAAGGGTAGAGTTCAGGTGGGTGTCACAGGGAGGCAATACCGAAAAACATGATACAAAAAATTAGCAAATAATCATGAGCAAAGATGAATTACCCTGACTTTAGAAAGTGTCAGTGGGGATTGAAGTAATCAGTGAAGTGACAGACACGCCAAGATATCATCTCTTACTCAAACCCTACCCTTCAGAGCTCTCTGCTCTGAGACACTGGGCTAGGCTCTGGAAGCCACATGTCTGTTTTCTCTGCTGCTCCCTGGTAGGCTCGCAGAAAAAATGAACTTGCACTTCCTGTTCCTCTGTCCTTCCTGTTTTCCTTCTTCACTCCAGCAGCAGCAGTTCCTTCCTGCACCAGGAACTGAATCTAGTTTGAATGTTTTCAGTACCTACCAGACCAGTTTTCCTGTGCACCACGCCAATGAGACCAAGTTTTAGTGCTGAAAGTCCCACACCCTAGGCATCCCCTCCATCTAAAGGCAAACCAGAACGGTTGGTCACCCTTCTCATCTCAGAGACACTAGAACCAGCCGAGCAGTGCCTGCTCCTCAGAGGTCTAGGTTCAAGCTCCACAAACCCTGCTGTGTTTTCTAAGTTCTGGCAATTCTACCTTCTTTCTTTGTCCCCAGCCCTGGGAGGGGGTTAGGCCATTTTCTGCTGCAAAAACAGAATACCACACACCGAGTAATTTATAAAGAAAAGAGGTTTATTTGGCTCATGATTCTGGAGATCGGGAAGTCCAAGAGCATGTCACTGGCATCCAGTGAGGGTCATCCCATGGCAGCAGGGCAGAAAACAAGCTCAACCCGGGGGCTGCTTCCTGCTCCCATGACACCTTAATGTGCTCTTACTGAGGATGTGATTAACAATCTCATAAATAGTTAATGCTTCTTTATTATTAATTGTAGTAAAATATATATAACACAAAATGTACCACTTTAACCATTTTTAAGTGTATAGTTCAGTGGCATTAAGTACATTCACAGTGTTGTACAACCATCAATACTCTCCATATCCAGAGCTTTCTGTTTGTTTGTTTTTGGGGGTTTTTTTTCTGGTTTTTTTTTTTTTTTTTTTTTTTTTTTAGATGGAGTCTCGTTCTGTTGCCCAGGTTGGAGTACAGTGGCACAATCTCAGGGCTTACTGCAACCTCCACCTCCCAAGTTCAAAAGATTCTCCTGCCTCAGCCTCCCAAGTAGCTGGGACTACAGATGTGTACTACCATGCCCAGCTAATTTTTTGTATTTTTAGTAGAGTTGGGGTTTCACCATCTTGGCTAGGCTGGTCTCAAACTCTTGACCTAAGGTGATCCACCTGCCTCAGCCTCCCAAAGTGCTGGGATTACAGGCATGAGCCACTGCACCTGGCCAATCTCCAGAACTTTTTCATCTTGCAAAACTGAAACTCTGTACCCATTAAACAACTCTGTATTCTCTCTCCCCTGCCCTGGCAATCACTGTTCTACTTTCTGTCTCTACAAGTTTGGCTGCTCTAGGAACCTCATATAAGGAATCATACAGTATCTGTCCTTTTGTGTCTAGCTTATTTTTCTCACGTTTCCAAGCTTCATTCATATCACAGCATGTGTCAGAATTTCCTTCCTTTTCAAGGAAAGGAATAATATTTCTGAATAATGTCCCACTATATGTATATAACACATTTTCTTTGTCCATTCATCCACTGATGGACCCTTGGGTTGATTCCACCTTTGCCTATTTTGAATAATGCTGCTATGAACATGGGTGTGCAAATATTGCTTTAAGACCCTGCCTTCAACTCTTTTGGATGTATACCAAGAAATGGAATTGCTGGTTCATAAGCTAATTCTATATTTAATTTTTTGAGGAGCCACCATAATATCTTCCACAAAGGCTGCACTATTGTACATTCCTACCAGCAAGGCACAACGGCTTCAATTTCCCCTCTTCCTTGCCAACACTTGTTACTTCCTGTTTTGCTGGTAAGAGTTATTCTAGTGTATGTGCAATAGACTACTTCTTTATGTTAGATTTACTCTGTTGGACTAACAGGCATGGCTCCATCTCCTGGTTGGGCCCTGGGTGATACAGAAGGCTTCCAGGAGGAGCTGCAATTGGAGCAAATCACTGGAGGATGAAGCATCCGGTGGGTGCTGAGAGGGAGGGCATCAGGGCAGTACTATACTGTTGAGGGGAAGGACCAGAGAAGAGTGGGATTGGACCCTTGCCAGTTTGGGGTGAGGCCATGCAACTCACATAGCCAAGCTGGATTCTATTCTCCCAGCAACCTGTCCCTGAAGCTGAAGTAAGTGTCCCCTGACTGCAAACCCAGCAGTGTGCTCCCAGATCAACACTTCTCTAAGCATCTAAGGAGCAGGCCTAGGAAGCCTCTGATGAAGTATGTGGCCCACTAAACAAATGCAAAACCTGAGGCCTGGAGGGAGGCAGTAACTCAGCCACAACACCCTGTGAGAACTCAGCCTTCTTGATTCACTCCATCTCATAGCACTGGTCTCAGTCTTTCTCCTACATACCACCCTCTGTGTAGAGGAAAACACCTCCTTTGCCTTCCCAGGCCCAGTGGTGGTGGTAATAAAAATAAGCAGGTTGATAGAGTGCTGACAATGGACCAGGCACTTTACAAGCATCATGCCACTGTCCAGCCTCAGCATTGTCCAAGGTCAGGTCTATCACTGTTCCCATTTTACAGATGAAGAAACTGAGGTTTAGCAAATTTAAATGGGCTGTCTGAGCTACAGAAGTTGAATCAGGATTGGAACCCGGTAGTCTGACCCCAAAGCCCATGTGCTTTGGCCATTCCACCCCTCCCCTCTGCACTGTGGGAAGATGTGAAATTTTCCAGAGGAAGGACCTGAATCCTCATAGCTGCATGCCCCCAGAGCGCTGAGAGGGGCTGAAACATGGATGCTAAGAACTTTCAGCGACAGCTGCTGATGGCGAGTTGACTTAGCACTCCTAAGGCAACATGTGGAAGGCAGAGGCAGTAATTGGGAGAGACAGAGAGAGCCCAGAGCCAGGCAGAGCAGTCCTGTCAAAAGTCCTGAAGAAGGCAAACACGTTCTGTATTTTTTTTCTGCCCATATTTATTATTTATTTAGGAATGTGTTTTTCCCCCAAGCTCTTTCTGAGGCTGTGGTGAAGAGGGCAGGCTGTGTGGGGTGAATCCAAGGAAACATGGACTCACCCTGCACAGAGGCCCATGCCTACTTCTACCGTGCACTCAGGACTGAGATCAACAAGGGCCCTGATAGCGAACCATGGCCCTGGGCAAGGCTGGTGCGGAAGCCTGACGCCAGCCCTGGGTCGGAGCAAGTGAGCAACCCAGCCCTCCAACACAGGCAGGTGTAAAGGCTAGGCTCCCCCAAGGAGCAAGATCCAGAATCTGATGCAACTCTTCTCTCTGCCCAGGGCCTCTCAAAGATCCAGTGAAAGCCCCAGACCCATTTCGTACACACCTGGGGGGTTTGTAGAGCCCCCTGAAGCCCACTGTGGACAGCCTTGGGACCCACAGACCCCAGATTAAGTACCTCTGAGCTTGCCTGCAAGCTTCTT